TGAACAGATCTATGCACATCGATGTTTATTGCAGCAATTTCCAGATAACAAAAGCCTGGGAACAACCCAAAACGCTGGGCACAGAGGAATGGATACACATCCTCCAGCAGAATATGATGCCTCCATCGGAAGCAATGATGACCTTGCTAAGTCCATAAGACACTGGACAAAACTAGAGCACATTATGCATAGTCGACTGACTCAACTCACAAAGATCTATCTTTATTGACGCCATTATTGTCAGGAAGAACAAAGAAAAATAAAACTGGTTCTCACCCCAGAGGCTGGGATGTGGCAGACTATGAGGAGGCCAGGATGAGGGGTGGCTAGGGCAGGAAGGGGGGGTGCAGGAAATTATGGAGGGAGGGAGTGGGAGTAGGAGGGAAAAAACTAAAAACACAGTTATGGGAGTTTTCACAGGATATTCTTACTGATTTGGTTTGATGAGAGGGGCTGTGCGACTATTAAATTAAAGACCAAACTAAGCAAACAAAGTTAAAGTTTAAAAAGAAAAGAGAGAGAGGGAGAATGGAGGGTGTGTAGTTATATAATATGTTGTCAATTTGGGAGGATTAAGAGTGAAGGGGTGGAGTTTTGCCTGTCAATCAGGTGAGTTTAGCATTTGGAGGCGCTATGTTGATAAATTGCTCTCTGGAGACAGGACACATGCTAACTCCCTGCGAAATATTTCTGTGGAGAAGACACATGGAGCTACACTGGAGCCCTGGAGCCAGAGGAGCCACGTGGAGACCCCTGCCAGCACTGAGATGCTTACACTGCCCCTGGATCCACAAGACTCTCCACCCACTGGCTGGTGATCTTCCTGCATTCTGCATCATTGCGTGTGTTTCGTGAGTCTTCAGAGGACTGTATAGACTGGTATTGGACACGTGGGCTAACATTGAATTTACGGACTTGATCTGGACTGGGCTGGGATCTTTTCTCAATATTCAACTGTTCTTGTATGTAAAGCTCTTTCTTGTACATATATGAGTGTCTATGAATTTGTTTCTCTAGTCTACCCAGACTAACACAGAGGGTCACAGGCTTAAAAACCTTCCAGAGTCCTTACCCCTTAGACCTAAACCACGGGTCTGAGTGGCCATAAAAGGAGGAAAAGTAAAACTGAGTGGACTTAGATTCTTTAGGGACATACAAGTTCATTTCACAGAAAGAAAGATAAGCCCATGGAGCTGTTCTACTCTGTCATGCGTAGGGTAGTGGAGGAAATGGCATAGAAGTCACATGTAACCTCCTCTGGCTTAGAAGGGAGAAGAAGAATCTAACCCCATAATCTGCTCTGAGATGGTGCCTGTGAGACTGGGGACACACATGCCTCCACTGTCCACCCTTCTTTACCTTACTCGAACACTAATTGTCCCCTCATGGCACTCTACTTCTCTACTGGGTCTGACAATTCCTTGCACACAGACATAACACACAGACAATACTCACGATGGGTTACAGAATGCTAGCAGGGGTCCTCAAACTGCGACCTTCCGAGGACATTTATCCGGCCTGCTGGGTGTTTTTGCCCTGTTTCCTTTTTTACTTCAAAATAAGATGTGTGCAGTGTGCATAGGAATTTGTTCATGGCTTTTTTTTTAAACTACAGTCCGGCCCTCCAACGGGTCTGAGGGACAGTGAACTGGCCCCCCGTTTAAAAGGTTTGAGGACCACAGACAGTTCTTTTGTTTGCAGCACCTTTCTTTTCTCAGTTTTGGTTCCTGGCCTCTGCTCTGCTTGGGCATGTGTTACAAAACTTTTTAGGTCCACAGAGCACCCACCACTCCACTCTCACTCCCTTGTCACTGCCCCTGTGTTCTGCCTCACGATCTCAGTGATGCTCCTCTGCTCTGCCTCACGATCTCAGTGATGCTTCTCTGCCACCCTCCAGGGAGGGGTCTCAGATGAGTTTCGTTCCTGATTCTTCTTGCTTGCTGGTCTTGAGATGCTCTCTTCCTGCTTCTGAAATGACTCACTTTATACCCAGTGGAAAGGTACAAAACTGACCACTGCCCTCTATTTCAGTTTCATACCCCCCTACTTGCATGCTCCTACTAAGCAAAGGATGAATAATCGAATTAAAAATGGACATGAGGACAAAGAAGTAGTTCACCCAAGAAGACATCCCAGTGGCCAACCAGCATATGAAGAAACAAATGCTCGTGTTCGCTAGGTGTAAGCGAGATGCGAATCACAACAACAATGTGATGCCATCTTACTCCAGAATTGACAGCAAAGTTAAAACAACAACAAAACCCCCCCAGAAAATAACAAATGCTAGGGAGGGTGGAGGGGGATTGGAACCCTCATACACTGCTGGTGGAACTGTAAAATATGCAGCCACTGGGGAAAGTGATATGATGCCCCTCAAGCAACTGGGAATAGAAATGTCGTGTGGCTCAGCAATCCCTCTACTTGTATGTCACCTACAGGAGCAAAAGCCACAGCACGGACTGACTGCAGCAGTCCCACAGTCCAAAGATGCAAACAGCCTGAATGGCCATCAGTGGGAGAATGCGCAACGGAACTTGGGTACATCCCCACAAGGGAGGACTGTGCATTGCTAAAGAACAATGAAGAAGCTGTGAAGACCAGCGTGGCATGGATGAACTTGGAGAATATTATGTGCAGGGAAGTTAGTCCATCGCACAAGGACAAATATCCTTTGAGACTCCTATTATAAAGGAAAAGCCAAGACAAAGATTTCCATACCAAAAGACAAAACTTTGAGGGTGCTGGGGAGGTTGAGGGAACGGAAGGGAACTAAGCAGGGATGTGTATGTGTGTGTGTGTGGGGGGCGGGGGGGAGTGCAGACAGGTGAAGGGGAAGATAGTATTCCACATGAGGAAGACGGGAACCCAAAAGAGGTAGGGGGCAGGTAAAGCGTTTAGGAGCTTTGATAAATAGTTTAAGGTGTTGAACACAAAATTATCTGTAATGTAACTCCCTACCTAATTCACAACAAAATGTTAAGAAAGCAAAAAGGTGTACCCATTTTCATCAATCTTTTTGGATACAATGGGTTGTAAATATAAATATATCTCTATAAATATATATATTAATTATATAATATATGTGATATAATATATAATACATTAAAATTTAAATATATTTATGTAAATATAAATATGTAAAGTGCTTCTAAAAATGTCTAACTCATAATGGTTAGAGTTGTCCTTTCTAAGGACACTCTTAATGTTTCCAAGGAGCATGATTAGAATGGTAATGGGTGCTGCATCAGTGTGTTGATAGAATATTGGAAGAACTATTTCCTTTGGAATCAGGAGACTGAAGCAGAATCGATGCACTTGAATTGTGGTGCTGGAGCAGACTGTTGAAACTCCCACGGACTGCAAAAAACCAAACCAATCTCTCCGGGAAGAAGTACGGCCAGAGTGGTCCTTAGAGGAAGCATGCTGAGGCTTGGTGTGACATACTTTGGACATGTCAGGAGAGACCAGTCCTTGGAGAAGGACCTCATGCTGGGTAGAGTAAAGGGGCCGTGAAAAAAAGGAAGGCCTTCAACCAGATGGAGGGACCCCGTGGCTGCAAGAATGGCCTGAGCACAGGAACCATTGCAAGGATGGCGCAGGACCAGGCAGGGTTCCATTCTGTTGTGCATGGGGTTGCTTTGGGTCAGAATGGACTCAAGGGCACCTAACGGCATTTCTTTTCTAAGATGCCCTGGTGGTTCAGTGGTTAAGCATTTGACTGCTAACGACTAGATCAGAGGTTCAAATCCACCAGCTGCTATTTGGGAGAAAACTGTGGCAGTCTGCCTCCATACAGACAACAGCCTTGAAAACCCCGTGGGGCAGTTGTCCTCTGTCCTACAAGGTCACTATGAGTCAGAATCAACTTAATGGCAAAGAGGTTAATATATATATAGATATGTAAAATTATTATTATTCCCCTTTCTATCCTCCCCACTTTTTACTCCCAACACACACCATTCCCCTGATAAGGTTAAGCCTTCACATTTTGGGGCTCTTGTCTAAATTGGAGTGCTTGATCTTATAGTTACATGTTGGCTGCTAACTGCAAGGTCAACAGTTCAAAACCACCAGCCACCTCCAAGGGAGAAACGAGATTTTCTACTCCTGTAAAGAGATACATTCTTGGAAACTCACAGGGTCAGTTGTACACTGTCCTATGCGTCAGAATTGACTCGATGCAGTGAGTTCACTGGACTTTAGAACCCAGGCTTCTCATTTCAGGTAGACACCGTCCTCACTCATCAACCTGGCTAGGTTCCAAATATCAGACCAGTATGCAAAAACGGGTCTTAAGTGAAAATGGAGAGCATGGCATGGAGGATGATTACATCATTACACATCATTACACAACGCCAGACCACCAAGAGTCACGCCCCAGTCAAGGTGATGCATAATGATTCTCCTCTCACACCTCGCTATTCCATACTGCCAAAGCTACTGTGTCCTGAAAGCACAGAGCAGCTGGATGATAGAGTCTGAGTATGTTGGTGAATAGGCAATGTCAGCTAACGAGCTTGTCCACAAGTAAGGAGTTGGTGTGTACTCAAGGTCAAACAGGAAGCTGAGGACCAGATCCTATGCCCAGGCCCTGTGTTGGTTCCACTAACCCAGTGGTTCTCAATCTTCCTAATGCTGTGACCCTTTAATACAGTTCCTCATGTTGTGGTGACCCCATAATGGGGGCATATCTGCATGTGGGCAGACCCGCCTGGAGACGGATTGAGGAACGGTGTCAATTCCTAAGACCATCGGAAATATGGTCTTAGGCGACCCCTGTGAAAGGGTTGTTCGACCCCCAAATGGGTCGCGACCCCCAGGTTGAGAACTGCCGCACTAACCAGTTTTCTCCTTCTCCACATCTCTTTTTAAAGTTTTTCAAACTCCATCTCATATCCCGTCCCATCTCAAAAGCCTCACTAGGTCCCCCCCTCAGCCAGTGTGCAAAATCCCCCACACCTCCACCATAGCAAGTTTTGAACATTTATTGTAGTACTTACCAGTCTTCCTGTTATTAGAGTCCGCCATCCATGTTGCCGTCTTCCACTTGCTGACCTGAAGACCAAGGAGATAATGTATTCACTGTACGATCCCACTTAGCACAGGCTGGGTGCTTTACAACACAAAGTGCTCATTGAATTGGTTATTAAGGTTGTGTAATGTGGAATATTTGCTCTCCAAAAGAGAGTGAGTGGAAATGAAACTGACCTGGGGAGTTCCCGTTCCCTCAGGGAATCATTACTCTGAGCGGCACTGTTTTTGAAGGTTATCTGTCTTGGCTTTCTTGCATCGAACAAACTTAATTATACAAATGAACTTATGCAGGTCTAACAAGATTAATGAGGTAAAACAAAGACCAGGCTAGTGAGGGGAGGAAACATTAAAGAACTAGAGGATGGTTATGTGTTTCATCGGTGCTATACTGCAACCTGGATATGTCATCCCTTCTGCGTGGCAGTTCTGTGAGGGACTGCCCAATTATCTTACAGGTGGGCTTTGTCCATGTTCCTTCACATCAATTTGAGTTCTTGTTTTTGAACTTCGGATCCCTATTCCCTTCGACACCTCGTGATCACACAGGTTGGTGTGCTTCTTCCATGTGGGCTTTGTTGCTTTCCGGCTAGATGGCCGCTTGTTTACCTCCAAGCCTTTAAGACTCTGGATGCTATATCTTTTGATAGCCGGGCACCATCAGCTTTCTTCACCACATTTGCTTATGCACACGTTTGTCTTCAGCAATCATGTCAGGAAGGTGAGCATCATACAGTGAAAGGCAGTCATTTTAATAAAAAACAAACTTCCCGCTCACTGCCATCAAGTTGATGCTGACTCATAGTGACCCCCCTGTGGGCTTCTGGGACTGTAATTGTTTTCAGGAGTAGAAAGCCCAGTCTTTCTCCGGAGAAGCTGCTGGTGGTTTTGAACTGCAGATCATGAGGATTGCAGCCCAACGTGTAACCACTACACCACCAATTCCCTTTACTAACTATACTCAAGCAGAGGCTTGACAACCATGGTGAGGGACGCAATCCTGAGATTCCCTGTTTGCTGGCTGGATTTCAATACCGCGAGGAATCTTTGTGATATTTAAGGGTTCACGAGCAGTGCAATCACAGCATTGACATCCAGTTGATTCTGATGCATTCTACGCTGTAGGTCAGAGCCGACTGCTCCATGTCGTTTCCAAGGCTAGCATTTCTACAGCCGAGCATTCCCACATCTTTCCCCCTGGCCGCAGCTGGTGGCTTTTGAACCACCAACCTTTTGTTTAGCAGCCAAGTGCGTAACCACTTGTTCCTCAGGGATCCTTGCAGAGGGCACTCAGCATTGGCCAGGTAGACCTGGCTCTCCCTACGGGTTCATTTGCGGCTTTTGCTCAGCCAGTGTGCAAAAGAGGCTGGGCCTTCATCCAAAGTCAGCTCCGGCCCCCACCTCCCTTCTGTCTTGAAATCTCCCTTCCCAAGATGCTAAGCAGATTGCCAGAGTTGAAGGCAACAGAGGTAAATACTTTTATATGCACAACCCTTTTATAAAGAAGATCTACAAGTAGATGCATGGACAGACAGGCTGAACAAGGGAGGGAGGGAAATTGGGAATATACCCACAATATCATATAGGTTTGATAGGGGTTTGGTACATGTGTGTATACTTTAGCTGGAAATAGATCTACGAATGTGGTGGGACATAGCAAAGTTATGAAAACTTTTTAGACATAATCAAACTCTATAAGGGAGTGAATTGCTAGGCCTGGGTCCCAGGGCCGTAGTCTCGGGGGACACCACAGTCCATTGCCATCAGAAAGTTCACAAAGACAATGTTCTTCATCCTCCTCTGCTGAGTATCCACCGGAGCCTTAAAGGCTCTGGATTGGCTATCGAAGGTGCAACTATTGGTCTGTCCCCATGCAGAGGACAGAATGATGCAAATTAAAGACACAGGGAAAAAATTAGTCCGATGGACTGATGGACTGAGTGAACATCAGTCTCCGTGATCCTGAGACCAGAACTGGATGGTAATTGCCACCTACTCTGAAAGGGATTACATCCGAAGATCCTCTACAGAATGGGAGAAAAATGTGAAACAAAACTCAAAATCGTAATAGAGACTAGGTTTCAGGGCCTGATGCAGGCTGGTGGAGTTCCCAAGACCACGACCCTTAGTCACCCTTCAGGTGTGGAACTGAACCCACCCCTGACTCCATTTTTATACAAATCATGGATAAGTCTATGTGGGGAACTATGACACTAGTTTGGTATAGACACCTTAGAAAGATCAATGATTCCAAACCCAAAGGGCAGTGTTCCCCCAGGGCTAGGAAGGCGGAAAGGAAGCTGGGATCCCAGGAGGAAGTGGGCAAATTGATGGCCCATTGCTGGGTTGTAAGGACTGAGGGGAAACAAAATATCGATGAGCGGCTGGATATAAAGGGACGATGCTTTGTACACGTTCATTAACCAAGTCACACTCGAGAATATTTGAAAGGAAAATCTCTCTTCCCTGGCCTGTCCCTCTTTGCTCCTTGCTTCTCTTTGCTCCCAGAAGGTCCCTTCCATGCTGCAATGGGGGACAGTGGAAAAGCCCGGGTTTTATCCGAAAGGATTTGAGGTGTCTCATCGGCATAGTCTGACATCTCTTCACCTGGCTTCAGTGGAAAGCATTAGTCAGTCTTTATCAAGCACTTCCAACACACAGGTCTTTTAGGTCCCGAGGCGGTCTTTTCTGGGATCTTAGATGGAGGTAGAGTTCTTGTACTTCTTCTGACCGTTCTACTTTATCCTACAAGTATGGAGCTACTGGTTTCCCCCCTATTTATTTAGGCCCGAGACACACACAGTCCTCTAAGGGTCTGGTTAAAAGCCTACCTGTTCTCACATCTTCCTTGTCAGTAGGTTGATGCCCCTCGGGCATTGCCTTTGGCGTCCATTCTCCCCATCTTTGAGTTTCCTCTCCACGATGCCTCCACCAGTCTGTGTACTGAGGGATGGATGGCGACCTTCCACCGACCCCTGCCACAACTGTACCTACTTGGCGCTGCAGCACAGCTTGGCCTCTCACCCTTGGATTTACGATCTCACCACCCCTTCCCCGCCTCACGCCTAAGTATCCTGCTCAGGGAGGTTGCTGGAACCACATATCAGTCTAACGAATCCACAGTCTCCACTGTAACTTCCCTTACAACATTACACTCGAACCCATGCCAAACCGTAGTGGCATCTAGTCCATACGTTCATTGACAAGGGGCTTGTTTAGAACTCACCCTGTCCCTTGGCAGCAATGCTCTCCGTGGTGGTTAGGTTTGCTGGCCCCATGCCGGAGAAAGCATGTCACCTGTACTATTGAGCCGGAGCACTGGAGCCACAGAACCTTGGGGGTGGGGGGGTGGGTAATAATAGCTGTATGAAATATAATCAGAGTGTAGAACCACCGTTGTTTCCAAGGGAAAACATTTTCACTGTTCCAACATGGAATGCTGGGAATGCATTCTGTTAACTGTCGCCAGTGCCCCTGATCAACACCCTTTGCCCGGATGAAAAGAAAAAGAAGACAAAGCAACCCCCCTCCAATTTGTTAAGGGATTCCTACCGCCTGGGCGGTGCACGTGTATGACCCGAGCTGCTGCAGTCCGTCCTCACATCAACACGGTGGGGTCGGTCAGGCTCTTAGCTACAGTTGACAGGTGAGGAAATGGGGGCTAAATCAGGGCTGCTAGTGACTTTGTACCGAGAATCTATAAAGTCAACTAGCAAAGTAATGGTCCACCATTACAGGCCTTCGTTAGAGCGGAAGAAAATGTGGAACAGAACTCAAAATCATACAAGAGCCCAGGCTCATTGATCAGAGAGACAGGTACAGAGAGACTATGACCCCGATAGAATCAGCACCCATTTAAGATCGGAGGTGCAGCATTGACCCAAGGACAAAGTGCAGAGGGTTAGGAAAGAAAGAGGAAAGGGCAAAGGCAGGGCGAAGGTGTACTAGGGCGTGCTCCTGAGGGAATTGCGATGGAAGAGTTGAAGGCAGCGTGCTCTAACAGCACCAAGCGCTATGGCTGTCTTCCAATGGTGCCATTCTGTTGTCGTCAGTTTGTGTGGATTGGCCTAACATTACACTAATGATTCTTTTTCAAGATAAGCACACACACACACACACACACACACACACACACATAAACTCTATAAACTGTTGAATGTAATAATCTGCTCTACCTAAATCCCAATCAACAGGATCAAAACAACAATTCTAATAAGATAAAACAACAAAACAAGAAGGAAGGGACAAGAAGAGAACGGGAGCTAGGGCAGGCGTGGGGAAGGTAGAGACAGTGGCAGGCAGGCGGGGGCAGCTCGGTGTGCTGTAGGGGATTGTAGACATTTTATATTCTCCTCCGTGTAGGCTGTCATCAGTGGACAGACACCCAGACCTTGTATGGTTTCCGAGACACTAGACAATAGTGACAGCCAGCTTATGAGGAGGAAAACTGTTTACATGGTAGTTCCAGGAATCCAGGCCTTGCAAGAATTCCACGGATCTCCATAGCACACACAGACACATGCACACATATACCCAATATTGTTTCTCAACTTCTTTCACCCCCACCCCTTACTCAGGTGAGGGAAAATGTATAGGAGAACAGGTAAGAGTTGTGATAGTAAAAAAGAAAAATGGCCATAGGATATTTAGGAGGCAGTAAGGTAAGGTGGTAAGGATAAAAAGTTCACTGCCATCTAGTCGATGCCGGCTCATAGTGACCCTACATCAGAGGGTAGAACTGCGTGCGTGAATTTCCCAGACTGTAACTCTTTATGAAAGTTGGAAGCCTCATGTTGCTCCTGAGGAGCAGCTGGTGGTTTTGAACTGCTGACCTTGCATTTAGCAGCCCAACTCGTAACCACAATGCTGCAGAAACCATCAATGGCCCCAACTCTTCACTCCTTCTTATATCCATGCCCTTTGCTATGAAATTTGCAGGAGTCTCACCTTGAGTAGAACGACCTATCCTGCCCCTTGATTGGTTCAGCTACGTGACCTGTTTTGGTTACCATAAAAGACATCGAA